ATCTATCTATCTATCTATCTATCTATCTATCTATCTATCTATCTATCATCTATCTCATCAGTATCTATCATGGATATCTATCTATCTATCATCTATCTATCTATCTATCTATCTATCTATCTATCTATCTATCTATCTATCTATTTATCTATCTATTATCTATCTATCTATCTATCATCTATCTGTCTATCTATCTATCTATTATCTATCTATCTATCTATCTATCTATCTATCTATCTATCTATCTATCTATCATCTATCTATCATCTATCTATCATATCTATCTATCATTGATATCTATCATCATGTATCCATTTGTAGCTATCTATCGAAATATCTCTATCTCTGGGCGGAGAAAGGTAGAGAAAGAGAAAGAGCGAGACAAAAGGGACGATAATGAGCACAGATATACTGTAGCATCTTTCAACGAATCAGAACTCAGGGACAAAGCGCAAATGTAGGAAAATCGGCTGGAGGAGCGCGAGAGAAACCCCATATGGCTCCACCTTCTGTCACCTTGAGTCCACTCCCGGCCGGCCGTCTCCATGGAAACCACCCGCGCGCTTCTCAGCTCTTTCGCGTTCCTCTAAGGCGGCGGGGAACAAGCGACCGTTCTTCCTTCAGTCTCGTGAGGCCCTCCGCGCGCCGGTTGCTCTCCTTTCTCGGAGCCGCGCTCTACTCGCCAGGCGGCACCGCTTCAGAGGGACACGGGCTTGGTTTCAGGGGGCGACGGCAGCGGTGGCTTTCATGTCGCGAAGGCGCGTCTCCGCCAGCCCGGAGCTGAGCTGGCGACAGGATCAGGCGCTGGGCACCACCATGCGTATCGTGCGGGAACTGGGCCCCACCGCTTTCGTCCTGCAGGAGGAAGACCGGAGGGCGGCGGAGCTCAGGGTAGAAGAAGGGAGAGGGGAAGCGGAGGGCAAAGACCTGGGACCGTCATCCCCGTTGGCGCAGCCCGGGTGGCGCAGCGGGCTCGCTGGTGTGGATGCCAGATTAAGTACTTGGCTTTGCGTTCTTTTCAAGAGACCAGGATTTATCGCTTGCAAAGCGAACCTGGCTTCTCCTTCTCTCCCTCCCCTCCCCTTTTAGCTTCACAAATAATTTTGAAACTAAAAACATCTCTTAGTGGCACCACTGCATCACCACAACACACGAACTCCCAGATTTGTGATGTTTTAACTGGACGGAGAATACTTCTGAGCATGTAGAAAGTGCCTTATGCTCCCTTTAGAGTTAATCTCTTCAACATGTTCCCTTCCCTTGGAAAAGCCTGAGCACTTGAAAGTGAAGGAAGGGATGCTCTGCCCAAACACTGCACTTCGTTATTATTATTATTATTTTGCATTTAAGAGTGTCACTGTTTTCCTTTTTCGCATTCATGCAGACAGTTCATAAACCAAGTGAAATACTTTTGTTGATTTAGGGGTAGATTATAATAATATTTCTATTAGAGAAGGGATACTATCAGTAATCCTCTTTTTACGATCACTATTGAGCCCAAAATTTCTGTTGCTAAGTGAAAAAATTGTTAAATATGTTTTATCCCAATTTGCAACCTTTCTTGCCACAGTTGTTAAGTGAATGACTGCAGTTATTAAGGGCAGTAACTGTTATACCAGTTGTTAAATGAATCTGGCTTCCCCATTCACTTTGTTTGTCAGAAGGTTGCAAAGTGCGCACTCGAATTGGTTGTTACACCGGTTGAATTGCATCACTTGTTATGACCTGGATTTGAAGTTCTGATGGTCACACTCTCCACCTCAGTCACGTGACCAAACTTCAGGCACTCAGCAGCCAAGCCATATTTATCGCCATTTGCAGTGTCCCATGGTCTCATGACTGCATTTTACAACAGTTTTGCTAAAACTGTCATTTACACTTACTGGCTCGCTTAACAATTGTGTTAATTTGACTGCCCCCAAAAAGGTCATAAAATTGGATTGGTCAAATGACTGGCCTGTTTTATGACTCATAATTCAAAATCATGATGGGTAGGATCCATTATGGTCATAAGTGAAAGACTATCTGTATGAGAGTAAAAACTTAAGTTGCAAGGTGCTAATATATTCCCTACTTGCAAAATGAAATTATTGAAAAGTTGAAAGAAAAAGAATAAAAATAGTCTATGTCTTCTGTATAGCACACATAGAATAAAAGTGGGACATAATGAACGTTTTTCAAATAGGAATTTGATATATGTCACTACATTTCTAGTCTGGAGAAAAAAAAATTCCCATGCTGATGGGAGTATCTGATCAAAAAAGTTTTTATTAATATGCTATAGTAGATAAAATCTATGATTCATAATATGGAGTGCACACCAGCAAACCTGTATGTATATTCTTATAGCTTTACAGAAGTACATTTTGATGTCATTAATGGACTTCAGTTGTCTTTTTCTTCTGTTTCAATGAATGATAGATGTTGATATCATATATTTTGAAAGTATATGAATGTAAATAAGTTTTTCTGAAAAATACTACATTAGAAGAGAAATAGTTACTACACTATTTCTAGTACTATTATTTCTGTTTTCTAGTACTATTCCAGATACACTGTACTAATATGGGTAAAACATATATGATTTTAGTAAATGCTGTCTTTCTGCATCTTAGTTTTCATTTTTCTCCATTTTATAAATGTGGCATAATAATTAAGCATGTTTTCTATTGTTTTGGTATAAGGTTTCCCTGGGGAACCCTCATTCATGCAGCTGCTCAGTATTTCTGAAAGAGAAGGACCTTTGTAAACATATCTGCTGGTAAATTATTTTTATTAAAATGTAAAATGATATAAATGTCTCCTTCTATATTTGGTGTACATTCTGCAGTGCCTCTTAATGTTATTCAGCTTTTTAAATATTCTGCCACTGGGGAGGGAGGAATCAAGATAAGATAAAATAGAGAGATAAAAGGACAAAAGATAGTGTGCTGAAAGAAGAGAAAAAAGGCATGGGTATGAAGAAAGTAGAGGCAAATTATAAGGTTTTCTTCTAGAAAGTTTTAGGTTGATTTTTTTAGTATTGGAAGACAAAATGTTCAGGGAATTTATTCAGGACTCAAAGGCACTTTTAGAAATAAAGATAATATTGAAGATCTGGCACTTTGCAATATTCCATTGTTATTTTTCTTTAATTTTAAAAAAGGGATACGGGAAGTATGCATTTCCTAAAAAAGGAAATACCTGGTTTGGAAATCCAATTAAATCTGTGCATCAAGAGAGCTCCTAAACTTCCATCAGGGAAAAGAGAAAAAACATAATGTTTCACCAAATAAAAAGTTGGGGAGGAGGGTCAAATAATTCCTTACTTTGTTTGCTATGGGTTACAAGGTACAATAAGAAATATGAATGATAGTTGTAAACAAACAAGTTTTAGTAAATGTCATTCAGATGGAATACAACTTTAAGGAATGATTGCATGATTGCATAATTGAGTTTATGTTCATATGTCTTTAAAATTGAAAAGCCAACTGCATTTAAACTGTAAAGTTATTGAATAAATTATATTCAATTTGCTCTTTTATTTTTAGGTTATTACTAAAAAAGTTCAAACTTCCAAGAGACCATGAATGTAGGTATATGTTAATCTTGTCATTTTATTTCCTGTTTGGAACTCATTGCATGGAACATTGGCTGTATTTGCATCCCCCAGAAAACCCGTCTATATTCACCATCACTCAAGTGATCATTCCATAGCTAGCAGTGGGCAACCAGGATTGCTGGGAGGGAGGGCAAGAATTTCCAATAACAAATGTATTGTACAGTATATTTTAGAGGTTCATTATACATATTAAAGTTTTTTTTTTCAACAGATGCTTTACAAATTGGTCTATTAGAACGAGAAATTAACCATCTGCTTCAGATTCCACAACTTGCTTCCCAAGTAAAAGTAATTGCCCATTCTCTTAATGAATTGAAAACAGTTGATGATGGGTATGTTAAACAGAAAAGTATTGATAATGATGACATATGTCCTGTTTGCCAGGATACGCTACTCAAAAAAATGCTTCCTGTCACTTATTGCAGGTGAGTCCCTGCTGGGTTTAAATTGCTAGGAAAAAGTAACGTATTTGTAATCATGCAGTTTGACTGATGGCATTTTCCTACAGTTTCTTATACATTTGCAAGACATAATGTTTGGGGGGATTTTAGGAAGCATATTGCTGCCTCATTTGAACTCATGTCCATAATTCCACTTTGCTCTAGTAGAAGTGTTCCATGTGTCACTAGCAAAAGCTTGCAGCGCTCCTCAGAATGGCCTTGTTTGGCAGCAATATCTGGAAAACCACAAGTTGATTCCTGGGTAGGCTATTTGATATTTGAACTCACAATTTTCAGGCTCACAAATACATCTACCAGTAGTACTCTCTGTCAGAATTTTAGTGATAGTTCTCTTCTTGCAGGGTTAGGTTTTTTTAAATATAGTCTGTGTACCAAGGTGACACAGTGATTAGAGTGCAGTACTGCAGACTACTTCTGCTGACTGCCGGCTGCGTGCAGTTTGGCAGTTCAAATCTCACCAGGCTCAAGGTTGACTCAGCCTTCCATCCTTCCGAGGTAGGTAAAATGAGGACCCAGATTGTTGGAGGCTTTACTCTGTAAACCGCTTAGAGATGGCTGTAAAGCATTGTAAAGCAGTATATAAGTATATATATATACATACATACACACACACACATATATATATACACATACATACATACTATATATAAGTATATAAGTAAGTATGTATGTGTATGTATGTATGTATGTATGTATGTATGTATGTATGTATGTATGTATGTATACACACACACAATTGCTATTGCTGTGCTGGTTTTCACATTATTGTAGAATCTGTTTTCTAATTCTATTCAGATTAGCCTGAAAATTCATGATCATCAAATTGATGCTGGCTGTGAATGCCCTGCATCGGTATTAAAAATTGTTTCTTTTTGCAAGTAGATAAATAGGGAAAGTATTCTTTTTTATTTGGAATTCAAACTTCTATCTTTTTCTACATTAAAACAGTCTATGATTCTTTAGTTATCAAGTACATGCAAATAGAAAAAAAAAATCAGCATCTTGATAAAACTCTGTTATTTCAGGATTTCTAAAATAAATCTCTGACCAAATTTTGGTAGATCATGTTGCAGACAACTAGCAGAGTTGTAGATGGAATCCCTTGGCCTACAGGTTGCTTATGACTTCAGTCCTTATTTTCCATTCTCTATACTGGTCTAGATTATGCTATCATATTTTTGTGGCAGATTCTATAATTTTTCTTTATCAACTTCAATGTTTTTGCAAAAGTCCTTGAGGATTTGAGGTTTCTTTTTTTATTGTCTTAATTTTTTAAAAAATTGGAGATTATTTTTGCTTCACATAACTTTCACATCATGGTCCTAGTATGGTTTTCTAGTGTTAAAGCATTGTCCATCCCTTTTCTAATGGATCACCTTGAATTTCATTATTTTTAGTAAGAGTTGAAAATGTGCTCACAGAAAAGTATTTACTATCCGACAATTTGTCATTAAGAATTTGATACATAAAATTCCATGTCAACAAATGAAAAATTATGTAATTCCAGTTAAATTTAAATTTATTAAAATAAATATTAAATTTATTTATGTAACATTTCAAAAAAAAATAAATTTCTTGTGTGCACAGGTTTGGTTGTGGGAACAACATACATATAGTGTGTATGAAAATTTGGATTGATCATCAGCGGGATTTAGAGAAAAATTCTTTAGTGAAATGCCCTCTGTGCAGGGAAAATTTTGCACCACTGAAGCTTATCTTGGAAGAATTCAGAAACTGCAAAAAACTTGTGACTTCAGCAGAAAAACAAAGCCTTAACAAACACCTTGGAATCCCTTGCAATAATTGCAGAGTACTACCCATTGAGGGAAATTGCTACAAGTAAGCATTTAAGGCATTTAACTAGTTATGTCTGAATCAATTTATTCGTAATATTGTAAACATTTCTTCTATAAGGAATCAAACATGAAAACTTTGCAATTATTATGAGTAGCCATATGTCAATTATTGGCTCAAATTTTCATCTAAGTTTATATATTTAAATAATGCCACATCTCAAAATTGTTTCATGAAAACTTTATCGGTCAAAATCTTAAGCTCACTGCCTAATGAATAAGCTCTGTGGCACCCAGCACAACTAGCTCCCTAACAAAAAGATGTAACAAAACTATCTGTAACTATATATCTTGAATCATAGGGATCAAGTTTTATTCACATTAATAATTTCAATTTATATATGATGAAATTTCCATTAGGAAGTATTAAAACTCAATGTGACATTTGTAACTATTTTTGAAGATCTGTAATTGGAAATGGTTAGATTCTAGTTTCTTTAAAAATATGATTGACGCTAAAAATGTAAATATATTTAGCTATACAATTAATTTTAATGTTAGTTATATATTTATACAACAGCATACTTAATATCAAAGTTATTTTACCTCAATCGAGAACCAATTAAATCAGAAGGAAAACAAGACCTTTGCACCACCTAGTGTCTACTTTTCTCATTTCAACTGAAGAAAATATATATCAATTTATTGATAGCACCCTGGAGCATGAAAAGCTTCTAAGCTACTGTGGGTTTTGCACTATTTCAGTATGTAATGCAAGATTGTACATTTAGAGTCAAGTCTTTTCATTTTAGCACAGGTGTTCACAATGAGCCAGTTATGAAAAAATGGGGACATTTCAGCCTATTGTCATTGCATTCTGACATTTAGTAATAAAAGTGGTGTCATGATGCCGTGAGGCAGGTTTCTTCATTTTCTGCTCAATTGCTCCTCTGCAAATGCATGTGCATATTAACTTGAAATTTTAGCTTGTTGGTCTATTTAATTTTAAAGTAGAACATTTCTTTAAATCAAACAATAGTGTTTTCAAAAAGATTTGTATAAATGTTATTGTTAATATTGTTATTTCAAGGTGTACTGAATGCAGTGATTACCATCTATGCCATGGATGTTTTCAAAGCTTTTGTCATCCCTCACATACTTTTGCTTTCCGAGAGGTACAGTATAAATTCCCTCCCTTAAAAAAAGCAAACCTTAATATATCAATTTAAAAAGCAAACAATAGTAGAGGAAACTTTCTTCCTATTATGCCTTGTCTGTAAATTGTATCAAATAATGATTTGATTATTTTATTTTCTTGTTTTTAAACCAAGATGAATATATTCTGTACTGTACTATATTGTAGTCTAAAAAATCAAAATAAAGATGAGATCCTAAGCACTGTTTAAATCCAGTAAAGATTTCTCTGGTAGGAGTGTTTACATTTGAGTTGATATTCATATGAGGTGCTACAGCAAGCAAGGTTAACTTGAGGCTTTCTTCTTTTAGCTGCTTTCCTCTTCTGGACAGAATATTGGGTTTCCTTTCAACCAGTCCTTGGTTAATAGCTGTGGTGCTTTTAACTTAACCAGTGGCCCACTAGCCTAATTCTGTTGAGCAATACAATCCCTCCCAAATCCGGAGTTGAGCATCCCACTATTGGTTGTGAAGAATTCATAGCCTCTGAAGAAACCAAATCCCTATGAACAAACAGAGTAGAGATGAAATAGTTTTTTTAAAAAACGTTTTCCCAATTATACTTCCTCTGTGACCTTCTTCCTTCTCCCTAAAATGAGAGTAAATATTCTGTGGTAATTGATGTAGCTTTCTACAATTCTCTGGGACATGTTGGTTGTATAGAAATGCAGCTTCTCAAGTCATGCATAGTAAATGCCTCCCATCTGCTTCTCTGGAAGTAAGGCTGAGAAGGAAGGGTTATCTATGTTTGATCTCTCCTTCATGGACAGAAAATGTTAGAAATCATGGATCCAAAATATAATTCTAAGGATCCACAAAACTAAAACTCTATAAAAGTAGGGTATGATCTAGTTCAAAAGATATTTTGAAATGTCATGTGTGTAAATGTGTAAAATATTTCAGAAAGAAGCTGGCTTTTTATCCTGAGGGCTTCAGTTGAAAAAAGCTTTGTAGAATTTATTTACTGTTTAGTTTGAGGATTTTTACCTTTTGTTTAACTTGTCTATAATACTGATAGTCTTGCTATGCGCAGGTGCAGTTTTATTTGCTCATATAACTTACATAATTTTTCAACTCTTCTGTCAGGAATACTGAGACACAAACAGACCCAGCCCAGGTGAAGTTTTTAACTTGCTAATACCAATCCTGGATCAGAATTATTTATACAAACTGGATTCTGCCATCCTCCTTGACCTGCTTTTTTCAGAGCTTGTGTTCTATTTATTAATTAGAATAAACTGTTACCCTTGCCATCGAGTTGATATCAACACTTAGTGATCACACAATGTGAGATCACTCTACCATCTCCAGGTTATCTGTCCCAACCAGGCTTTTGGGGTCTTCCCATGGTCTCTTATCACCACTGCAACTGCATCCATTCATGTTGTTGCTGGTTTTTGTCTTCTAAGCAAAACATACAGCAATGATATGAGAAATTAGTATTTATTCAGCTTTTTTTTCAAGTATCATTTTTATATAAAATGTATTCATTTTTCTACTGTTTTACTGAAATGATAAATGCTAATAATTCCCTTTAAACAGTATGTCCTGTTGCTTAGTTTCTTCATATCTCTACTTCAGAAAAGGAATCAGAGATGGAAATCATTTGAACCAAAAGTGCATCTATCAACAACAGAAGAAAACCTAAAAATTAATCCAGATGGGAAGTTTATAGAAGAAAAAAACAAGGAACAGTAAGATGAAAAATTCAATGAAATTCATTTCAATGGTTTTTAATTTAAAAACTTAAGGAAGGAGAGGCATGATTTAAGAAAGCAGGGTTATTAATTATACATTTTAATCCATTTTATTTTAATATTTCTTGGTATTTATAAAGAAGTGTAATCTATTCCCAGTGGGCTTCCATGGTTCCAGTGAAACAAACATTTTTGCATTATTACTTAGTAACTTTTTGTCATGTATCAGTCTGTGACATTTATATGAAATCCATTTGAAATCTTTCACCTTATGATTTTAATTTTTTCTAACTAAAGGTAATCTTCAACTTACTTGCTCATCATGTTCACAAATGGTGATGGCCATTAAGTGAGATGATCTCGCTTAATAATCCCCACTTCCTGCTCTCCTTGATGCAGTTTTTAAATGACTACACAGGCTGATAATTGGAGTACAGGGTGCCTCAGATGGCAGGGGCACTGGGAGGCCTAGCACGAGGACATGACCCCCTGCCCCAGGGCTTACACACTCTGAGACATCCTGTGTTCCACTTCCCATCTCCCAGGATCCCCACAACCCTTGCACCTCCTTCCCCATCCCTGAGTTCCTGCAGGCATTTCCCCTCCCCTTCAGATCTCTGCAGGGCTTGGCCTCTTCCCCATCCCATCACAATTGCATGCTTACAATCTCTGGAGCTCAGGAAGTTAGGGTGGGAAACTCTGTTTCAGGCCACATGGGTTGCTAGGCCAAAAGCAATTTTCAGCTGTCTGCTTGCAGAAGCACTGGCTTGAAAAAATGGAGCCTTGTGGGATCCAAGTAATGGAGAGGCTTCCTTTGCTTTGCTAACATGATCAAAGCAAAGCAAATCTTTCTGTTCCCTCTCTAACCTCTTGAGCTTTGGAGATCAATGAAACATAAGTAAGGAGGAGCATTTGGGGTCTGGAGAGGTGGGAAGCAGGCCTAAGGCATGTGGGGACCCAGGGTAGGGGATGGGAGATAAGTGGGGGAGACACTGCAGCATCCTGCAGTTGGTTGTAAGGGTGAATGGCCACAGGAACACTCTAATGGTCGTAACTTTCAGAATGGTTGCTAAGTGACCAAAAATAAGCAAGGGCTACCTGTTAGCATTGTTTGCATTGTTTTTTTGAAATAAGATTTTAAAATCAGATAAATGCATAAACTCATATGGAATAGATACTCTGTTGCATCTCTTTCAGATTCAGCTGCATACCACAGCAGGTACTGAACTCAATACCCAATATGGTGATTAGGAAGGGCAACCCTTTACTAGATCCAGGCTTACAGTGTAGATTCTGTTTGAAGATATTCTGCCTTGGTCAAGTTACAAGGACCTTACCATGTAATCACAAGGTAAGCTGGAGATCCTTTTGAGCAGGAGCTTAGAAGTTTTTCTGAAACCCAGGTTAATTTTCGATACAAAATTTTTCAAACCATCAAAAAAAAAATGAAATGATTTAATGCATGTGTAATATAATGTAAAGCCTGCATGCTGCTGTGACATACCTTTTTATTGTTTTGCATTGAGGCAGTCTCTATAGAGTTAGCAAGCAGAGTCTGGTGTCTGAAACATCTGTTTGTGAAAGCAAGAAATTCTGTTTCAATCATTATTGGTAAAGAGTCAGGAATCTTGTCTACCACAATTCCCGATTTTTAGAACTAGAGCCACAGCCACTTCCAGAATATGAACTGCTTCAGGAAAAAATGGTGCCTTGTTTACAATCAGATCATATTTAGTTTCTAAACATTCCTTTGTGTTAACTAAGATACTATATTGTCACAACTACATTGGATTTTTACTAAATCCAAGTTAGACTGTACAGTGCAAGACTGTTAGTCAAGTCCAGCCTCAACCATATAAACTCACTGGATGAGTTTGGAACAGTCACACTCTCATCTCAACCTACACCATAAAGTAGCTGTGGGCATAAAATGGAAGATCTCCCCCATATGCTTCTCCAGGTCGGGTATGAAAATCACTAGTCTCTGCAGATATGGCTGTACAATGCTCAATGTTTTTTGAAGATTAGTCTAAATATTGGCTTAAGTTTCTCTTTCCTGCATTATGTCTTCCTATGTATCCAGTTTTTGTCGTTCCTTTCTCTTTGCTTTCTTCCTTTCAGTTGCTTTTTCCATAGCCATCTTGTTTTCCTGATGCTTTGGCTATAAGGGGGACAGGAAATATGCATTTATATACTATTTGTATACTATTATATGCATTTGTATACTATTTGTATACTATTATATTATATTTTGTGTAGGACAGAAAATGATTGGAATATGTAAATGAGGCTCAATTACTTCTGTAAATAGGTTGCCTTATTATAAGGCATTTTTAAAATTCATTAATGTATGTTATTTTGTCCTAATTGTGCTATTTGGGAAGGGGGAAAAAGGCACTGATGCTGCACATGTAAGGATATGACATCTGCACATATATAAATTGGGTCGTTCTAGCCACTGGCAGCTCTTAAGTTGACAAGATAAGGAAACTGTCTAGCCATCTCACTAGATCGATCCAACACAAGGGGCATACTCCAGGTCCTTTCTGAATATCATTGGAACCATGCCTTTTCTGTCACAGCACTGTGTGACATCCCATTAGACTGGCCCATCCCTGCCAGCCTTTCACGAAGCTTTGAAGATTTGGAAGTGCTCCAAAGTTGACTTTTACTTTTTTGGAGTTGGGGAGGGGGCCTTACCCCTTAATCTATATATTTAAAAACATGTTAGTCATGCTACTCCACTTTCCCATAATCCATGATAAACTTGGCTGTCTGTGTGGCTACCCTTAACATGAGCAAGATTTACTATTTATGTATTTTTCAGTTATTTTCAGTTATTTTTAGAATCATTAAAGAGTTGGTAGAAGCCATTTAGATGTTTAAGTCCCATTATAGGCTTTGCATGAATCCAAATCCAAGCATCCCAGACAATGGCAATCTAGCCCCTGCATAAATACATCCAATGAATGGGAACCTTTTCCCTCTCAAAGTGTCTGATTCCCCTTAGGAAGCTTTTCATTCAGGACCTGCCTCACTCCAAGTAAAATCCAGTATCTCATGCCTTACAGTTAGGAGTAAGTTAAAATAACTTTTCAGATATTTGAGGAATATGACTGTATCTTCCCCTTTCAACATGATTTTTATTCAGCCTTGTATCCACTTATATCATTCAACCTATACTTAAACTAGCTTGTTGGAATATTTTTATGAATTATTTTGCTGAATCCAAGACTAATTGTATTTCTTCAGATCTATAGGCTATTAAATAGCATTACCTTCAGTGATCAGTGACAACTAATTTTATTTCAGAGCCTTCTAAATGAGCTTTTATTATTCTTAGCATGTCTCAGTAACCTGAACTCATTTTGAGATGATTTTGAGCTGTTGAATACCTAAAAAGACAACTTAGATTGCTTCAAAGGAAGCAAGTCAGCAACTTCCTAGCTGTTTCCTAGCAATTCCAATAAACCTTAAGTAACAATTCTCTTAAAGTGCATGACACAAGCAATAATAGGGATGTTAGCAGACATCAGAGATATCTCTTCGATCATGGCATTTACCTGCCTCAAAGAACTGAATGGCAGTTCAGATACATTATTTCATATGTAATATTTGACACATGCAAGATGCATACATAAATAATGTTGGTGGAAAATTACCAAGGCTTAATACATTATGTATTTTATTTAGTTCCACAGAAAATGCATTGACCGTTGGTTGCAGAAAGAAAATGCGTGTCCTATTGATGACCATGTTGTATATAATCCATTAACTTGGGAGACGGCAACAAGCAAAGACAAAGTAAATCAATTAGGGTGTCAACCAAAGCACCTCCTTGCAAAGCAGCCTGGGTTGGATCTTTTTATGCCAGGCACTGGATTGTCTATCAAACAAATAAAGCCTCACCATGCCACGGAGGTACCTCAAAGTAGTTTTCAAGGAAAATGTAACAAGAAAAAAAATTCTGCAGAGACTGAGCAAAATTTAACATTGAATGGTTTCAGTTATCCTTGTACCAGAGATGCTGGTTCTAGTTTGCTTAACACTCAAAAACCAAAACATTTGAAATTTTCTCGACATGTAAAGGGTTTAGTCCTTATTCCAAAGGCTCATGCTGATAAATTTACCGATAAAATAGTTGGTACTGATTTTAGAGTAAGCCCAAATTGAAAGACAGATTAAAATTGTAACACTACATATTTTTAAAAGAAAATAGATTCTATTGGGTAGTTATTTGGATGTACAAAGGATCCAGATGCTTTAGATTTTTATATAAATGTAAAATTTAATGTGAAAATCATTTTTACTTGGTTTGATGTTCAGTAAAAGTTTTATATAAAATAGTGTTTATCAGCATAAAAGAAGTCTCTCAAGGTTTTTTTGGCTCCAGTAAATTCAACTTTTTAAGACTAAATATCTAAATTACATTTTTGAATATATAAAATGATAAATACCCAACCATTTGACACTCAACTCTGCTTCTTAACTGATTTAAACTCTAAATTCAGCTTAAACTACACATTTCTGTGGAAATATTTTTCTTGCTGCATTTGGTAACTGTTTTATTATTTTAACCAACTAATATTGTTAATTTAAATTCTAAACCAAGTTTATACTTATTAGCATCTTCAGTGTTTATGTCTCTTAAGAGATAAAGAGATGGCTAATAAAAACATTTGCTCTTTCTTGCTGATAGAAGTGGAATCCCCTACAAAGAGATAAATTGCTCTTGTAAATAGCATTGGAATAAAAATGTTTTCTTTAATCATGAATGGTAGCTCTAGTATGAACCAGAAAATAAATGTAATAGGAAATATTGCTTTTATAATATGAACAATAAATAGCAAGTATAGCAAAATATAGACCAAACAATTTGGATGTACAATTTCAGTGGTCTACAAATTGGAACAAATGTTTTACAAAACTGCCACCCATATTAATGTATTAAAGTTGAATTGTGTAAAAGTCCGAAGTATTATCCTGTTACTTCTTTCAGTTTGTTAATAAAGAGCTGTACATATTTCTGAATTGCTCAAGTGCTGTCATCACTAAATTTAGTATTTGCGATGGTTTTTTAAAAAAACTCAGAATATGGATGAAAATAAGAATGTTGGATTTGAAGTGATGCGCTATAATCCATGCATGTTTAAGAACCATATGCTATATTCAAAGAGATATTTTCTTTTATGGAGAAGAGAAAACAACATATACATTCAGGGTGTACATACAGTCAGAATTGCAAAGTCACCATGATCATTGAACAATGATAGAATGTGGAATAAAATAATGGGAATACTTGAACCAGGCATTCATATATGCCACTTCATGTCCTCTAACCAAGATTATAATTAATACTAGAACATCCATATAGATCAACAATGACTACATTTCCAACTCTCAATATAATGGGTTCACCATGCATGGCTGTCAAGCCTATCACAAACCTTTAAACTTAGATTCATTATTTCCAAGCTCATCATTCTGAAGCAGCAGCACCTCCAAGCACTTCTAATGTTCCTAACTCACTTCTTGAAACTGGCATCTATTTCTACAAACTGTTCCTTTCAAGAGTCCCTGATACTACTTGTGTAGCCATACAGTGAATGGCTGTAACACATTCTCCATGAGATGCAACAATCAATTTGTTTTTTTAAATAATCAAGTATCACAAAGTTATTGGTAAGATTTTTTAAAATTAAACTTAGCAGTGTCTTATAAATTATAAGATATAGACAATCCATTGGCACTGCAGTAGTTGCACAGACATGAACAGCTACTCCTGGCAGAAAAATGTAAAAATGAAATGAAAAGGATCAGCATTAATAAACCATAAAACAAATTTAAAATATGCTGTGAAAAAAGGAGTCCTTATTCTCATTATTTATAACATAAATCTAGTAAGGAAGGTCTAATATTTTGGCAAGAGCTGGGCTCCAATTTCTTCAGTGGATTAGATTATCAACCTTTACATGATTCAATGACTAGTCTTAATTAGTACTGGGAGCTCTGCATTTCTTTCCTTTAACACAAAGCACTACAGCAATATGAAAGTGGCGCAGCATACATGAGAAAGTATCAAGCTAGTTTCTTAAATAGCAACAATGGAAAATGGGCTGTCTGTTTTGCTGGTAGCTAAAGATAATAACTACACCGAATGATAGTGTGAGAGGGGCAAATTTCAGGCCTCTACTTGGCAAGATGAACAGGTATGCAGCAAGGCTAAGTTAAATGATTTCATAATCTTAATGGGCAATTTTGTAAATTCAGAGTCTACATTTATCTAAACTTCGTATATCACATGGGGTTGGAATTGCTGAATATTCAGCAGTTCCTCTATTAGAGAATATGTCACCTTTTAATAATAGATGTCATAAAGGACTAATTTCAGTGATGAGTGTTTACATGTCTATTTCAGATTCTGTTCCAGCCATTGCTGCTCACAAAATTAGATTTTCAATACAAACTATACTCTTTAAGACTGTAAGCATATGTATATTTACTTATTTAGCAGGAAATTCCATTGAACTATAAAGAACTTCCTTCTGAATAAGCATGCATATACAGTAAAATTGAACTGGTATGACATAGAAATACATTTTTAAAAAACCACAAAGATTCTATATACTGAAGAATTACACACCAGTATATTTTAAAGTTAAAAGAACCGTGTATCTCAATTGGGAAATGTACAATTATTTGACAATTCTTTTTGTTATTTTCAAAATTAGCTTAAATGTCAGCCAATACAACTAATTGATACAAAATGCTAAACAATGAATTATTTCAGAAATATTGATTAGGCATTAAGAGGAATAATACCATCAAAAGTTTTACTAGGTATAATTCTATCACTGCTGTTAAAATATAAAATGTCAAAAAACATTTTTTGTTTGAAAACTATTTAATATTCCAAAATGCTTAAAATGTCTGGTGCTATTTTAGTGCATGTGTCACATATGAAGGGAAAAGCACTTATTTTCTGAAAGTGGCTTTCAAAAATATTTTAATATACATTATATTTAAGTTATTAATATATCTCCCACATACCCAGAGAGGCATTTGTGCTTACATTAATTTGAAATTTTCTTAGTCTTATCCTTTCACGCACACTCTGGTAAGAACCAATGTTGTAGTGAACAGTTAGAGGTAAACATTTTTCTGGTCAAAATAAAATGTTAACATGTTATGATATTTATGTAGTTACTTAGCAAGCACATCTAAATTATATTAAAGTAATCAAAATATCTTTACAATACCCAAGGCATGTCACAACATTACCTCTAATGTTTGGAAATTGAAAGTTGAAAAATTTGACATACCCTACCTACCACCAAGCTGCAAATGAGAGAGTAAAATTTTTGAATGTAAAACATAAATTGTATTTTTTAAAAAGCCTTTGGATATACTACCACTGTAGGATTCAGTGCAAGAACAGGATAACAAATGAGTTTATCATCTCTATGCAGCCAATTGGTATTGGCTCCATTTATTTCCAACCTGAAGGAAATGTCCATCTTGTCTCAGATATGTTCTGTAAGGACATATTATTTTCATTAAAAAAATCCACTACTCCAGATTGTGGTATGCTTATTACACTTGTCTAGTAAAAGTAACCCAAACCCTCAGGGAATCTGTTTATCTCTTTTCCATCACTTTGTACAAAATGACCTGCAAATAAGTAGAAATTTGAATCTTGTAAGTTGAGACAAACCAACTAGAATATTTTACTCAAAATCCATTATTTCTGTGCCTTTAAAAGTTCCATTTTTTCCTCACATTTTTTTAGGAAAAGCAAACCCAAAACGTAGGTAGTTGTGCAGTTCCACACTATAACCTTTCAATAAAAGTTATGTCTTTCAGAACTACTACATTTTTGTTCCGACAAATCTTTGATTTTGATTAAATGTTACTATCTTTCCAAATTTTCTATTTATTTCAATATAAATGAGACAAATGAGTTCTGAACTGAAAAAGTAGAGTGGTTAACACTTCAACCATGATTTCAGAGGCTACAGCCTTACTGCAATAGAAATAAGCCAGTCCTCAAATGATTATGAGATGACAAATGGAAAAGGGCGTTGGTACTTACCTGATACGCCCGTTCTCTGTGAGCTGTGAAGAGCATCCAGAAGTGGGAGGTGCTTCAGTCTCTTCTGGAAAGGCTGGGCTTAAAACTCTGGGACGCTCCTCCTCCTCCATGGGACACCTCCCTAGCGTCCCCCAGTTTTGCGAAGACTGAGTGCCAAAGTCCGGAACTCATCACCTAATCTAGATCCCTGACCGGAACGGAACCCCACCAGACGGAAAGAAATGGGTGGGGCTGGATGCTCTTCACAGCTCACAGAGAACGGGCGTATCAGGTAAGTACCAACGCCCTTTCTCCCATGAGCTGTTCAGAGCATCCAGAAGTGGGACATACCAAAGCTTGGCCTGTCCTTAGGGAGGGACTCTGTCTGGATCGAAATCCACTCCTAAACTCTGTGGACCCTCTGCAGGACTCTTCTGCCAAATGAAGCCTCTGCTGAGGCATAGACATCAATTTTATAATTTCTGACAAAGGGCGATGGTGAAGCCCAAGTTGCCACTCTGCAAATTTCGTCTATGGAAGCCCGTGTGGCCCATGCTGCTGATGTTGCCGCACTCCTTGTTGAGTGGGCTGTAATGCCCTTAGGAACTGAGATGGACTGGCATTCGTAATTTTAGCTATGGTGGCTCTCAACCATCTACCAATGGTCGTCAACGACACCTTGTGTCCTAAAGTGGAATAAAGTGGGTTGAAGGATAGGAATAGAGCCTCAGATTTTTGAAATGCCACCATGCGGTCTAGATAGATGCTTAACGCCCTTCGAACGTCAAGTCAATGCCATTGATGCTCCAGTCTATGAGATGGTTTTGGACAAAAATTTGGAAGCACCAACTCCTGCGCTCTGTGGAAGACTGAATTTACTTTAGGGGTGAATGATGGATCCAATCTGAGAACCACTCTGTCCGCATGAAACATGCACAGGTCCTTTCTCATCGACAATGCTGCCAATTCGGAAATCCTCCTTGCTGATGTGATCGCAATTAAGAAGACCACCTTATATGTCAGGAATTTGAGACTAGCGGTTCTTAAAGGCTCAAACGGGCCAGTTGTAAGTGCGGTTAACACCTTGTTGAGCTCCCAAGTGGGATAGCAGTGAATTACAGGAGGTCGTAAGTTTGCAGCACCCTTAAGAAAGCTGTGGACATGTGGATGGTTTGCTATGGAATGAAGGTCACCCCAAGATATCACCGAGGCTAAGGCCACCACCTGTCTGCGTAAAGTATTTGGAGATAGGCCCTTGGTCAACCCCTCCTGTAAAAAGTCCAATAATTGTCCTATTGATGGGGCGGTTGGGTCGATCTTAGACCCCCAGCACCAGCGACAGAAAGCGGACCACGTGGCCTCGTATATACGATTTGTTGAGGACCGTCTGGATGCTTGTATGGTGGCAATGGCATCCTCTGAAATCTGTTGGGTCCTTAAACGGCTCCGCTCAACCTCCATACGGCTAGGCTGAGCCATTGTGGGTTCAGGTGAAGTACCGGCCCTTGCGAGAGGGAAACCCTTGATGGTGGAATTTTGCAAGGTTGTTCTCTCAACAGGTCCTGTAAGTCCATGAACCACGTTCGCCTGGGCCAGTAAGGGACGACCAATATCAATTCTGCTTGTTCCTCCAATAACTTCTGGATCAACCTGGGTATTACAGGGAGTGGAGGAAATGCATATAGAAGTCCGGGAGGCCACTGACATCGCAGGGCGTTGACGGCCTCCGCCCCGAGTCAGGTACCTTGAAATATACCGGGGCAATTGGGTGTTGAGGGGAGAGGCAAATAGATCAATCACTGGTTGCCCAAACCTCCACACTGCTTCCTGGAAGAAAGACGGGTGTAGGCACCACTCTGTCTGATCTATCGTGGCCCTGCTGAGCCAGTCCGCTTGTGTGTTTAAGGCCCCTGCTATGTGCTCTGCCTTGAGCAAAAATAGATTGGCCTCGGCCCACTTGAACAACTTGGCCGTCTCCAGCATCAGAAGTTTGGAGTGGGTACCCCCCTGTCTGTTTACGTGGGCCTTGGTTGTGATATTGTCTGTCAAGACCAGAACGTGGCGTGATTGGAAAAGGGGTAGAAAACTGCGTAACGCCAGATGAACTGCTCGCAGCTCCAACAGGTTGATGCTTTGTGATTGTTCGGAAATAATCCAACTTCCCTGTGCAGTGTGGGATTGGAAGTGAGCTCCCCATCCTACCAGGCTGGCATTGGTTGTGATCATTGCCCTGCAAGGTTCCTTGAAAGGACACCCCTTGTTTATCGTGTTTTCCGACCACCAGCGGAGCAATCGGAGAACATTGTGCGGTACCTTTATCCGGACGTTGGAAGTGGCTCTTCCGGATCGCTGGAAAGGTAGCAGGAACCATTTCAGAATTCCATAGAATGGAATCGGGCCCAAGGCACAATGGAAATACAAGAAATCAGTTTCCCTAACAGTTGAGACAGAACTGCCAGGGAAACCCTCTTTAACCCTCTCTGGCCAAAGACTGGATACTATTCAACCTGTCCTGAGAGAGAAAAACCTTGCCCTCCACGGTATCTATTACTGCCCCTAAATGAACTAACCTAGTTGAAGGGATCAAATGGCTTTTATCCCAATTTATGGAAAAGCCGTGACCTTGAAGGGTCTCCAGAGTAATCTTGGTATCCAAATTTGCTTGATGTCTGGAAGATGACAAAATTAAAATATCATCCAGATAACATTGTAAACGAATAGATTTGATCCTGAGGGAGGCAGCCAAAGCCGCTAGGACCTTGGTAAAAGTCCTAGGGGCCGAAGCCAGACCGAATGGTAGGGCAATATATTCGTAGTGCCAATCACAATAGCAAAATCTAAGATATTTGTAGTGAGCAGGTCTAATTGGTATATGTAGATAAGCCTCTGTCAGATCTATAGAGGTCAGGACGTCATTCTCTCTGATGCTGAGCAGAATGGACTGGAGAGTAGTCATCTTGAATTTTCGATAAACCAATGATCTGTTCAGACATTTGAGGTGCAGAATTGCCCTCCAGCCCCCCGAACTCTTTGGGACCACAAACAATAGAGAGTAACAGCGTTGATCCCGTTGTTCAGATGGAACCTCTCTAATGGCCCAAATATGCAGATGATTGATAGCCTCCTGCATCAACGCTCTCTTAATGGGGTCCATGGACCTAGGGCTCCTAATGAAAAAGTTCGGGGGGGAGGAGTGAAACTCTAGCGCCAAACCAAACCGAGTCCCTGACCCACGCATCAGAGGTGGAGCTGTCCAATTGATCAGCAAACAATATTAGCCGTCCTCCAATGAGAGCTGCTGTCAAGGACTCACTTGGGGAGACGAAAAAATCGGCCTCCGGTACCTCTGGGGTTTCTTCTGTTTTGGCCTCCCCGCTGACCTCTGTTGGAAGATTCCGACCTATCCTGTCTAAAACTGGGCCTGTAGCCCGATGTTCTCTGCGATCTGGGAAGGTATGAGTCTTGATAGTAGGGGCAAAAGGAGCCCCTTCGAAACGACTGGGGCGTTCTGTTTTCAGACCTCCGAAAAAGAGGGGGAAGCACTTTTTTCTTGTTTCTATTCTCAATAAGCAGGGGCTCCAAGACACTGCCAAATAATTTATCCCCTGATATTGGGGCTGATGCCAGCTTGCATTTATGCTTGGTATCTGCCTGCCAATGTCTGAGCCATAGCAGTCTCCGTGCTGATACGTGAGATGCTATGGCTCTAGATGAGAATTTGACTGCATTAAATGTGGCGTCTGAGAATTCTGCCACTGCAATAATCTTAGCAATGTCCTGGTGGGCTCTGACATTTGACGCCAGCAATATATCCCTCAAGTGTAAGAGCCATCGTAGGAAGGACCATGTAAAAAAGGATGCAGCTGTAGCTGCCCTAATGGCCCAGGCATCAAGAAACATGCGCCCTACGGAGTGCCAACTCTGCTCTCTTTTCCTCCAGTCTCAGGGCCTCCTCGGCCTCATTGGGAAAGGTTGAAGAAGAGGCCAGTGCCACAATGGGCTCATCCACCTCCGGCGTTTTGAGAAAATTTGAAAACTCTGGAGCCAAATTATAATATCATTTATCATACCCTGTTGGGGCTGGGTAGGATGCTGCTGATGCTCGGCAAACATACGAGGGACAGGAATAGTTTCTGCCTCATTAGCCGGTTGTGAGAATATTAGATCCTCAGATTCGTCCTGAGACCCTGTTGACAATGGATGAGGGCTTGATGTGCCTAGTTTCGCGGTGTTCTTTGCTTTGAACAGTAAAGATTTAAAGAGGTGCGGGCGAAAAAGGCCAGAAAAGGTAGGTTGGTCCGGAATGAGGCCTTCGTCATCCGACATTCCTCGTTCTAGTGGGTCAGCCTCTGACAACCCCAAGTCCATCTGATGGATCGACCCCACCTCCATGGGAACATCCTGGTCTGATCCTTTTTTTTATTTTCATGCTTTTTTTAAAAAAAAAAATTATTATTATTATTATTATTATTATTATTATTATTATTATTATTATTATTATTATTTGTACTTAGGGGTGATGCCTACCCGTGGTTGAAAGTAGAATGCTTCTCCAGGAGTGTAAGTCTATATCTATCTATCTATATACACACACACATATACACATATACACAAGCGCTCCAAGCAAGAAATATTCTGGATCCCTGGTCCCCAACAAGGGAAACCAGCTATACAGGGCCTGGATGGATCCTTTCCTGTCAAAAACGTCCCGCTGTTTGAAATGGCACTTGCGGCTTCACTCCAATGTAATGATCCAAAAGCAATTGCAAAAGGAAAAAATTCCTGTTTAAGGACTAGCCTGCTTATCCAACGCCAGCAAGATAAAAGAGAAATAATGCCAGGGAAGTGGAGTGGGAAGGTACTTGCCTCAGTCGCCAAGAAGGGAAACCAGCAGGGAATGGCGCCTGTGATATTTAGGCGCGAACTTGAAGCAAGCCGTTGAAAATGGCAGGAAGGCAGAATCTCCTATGTTAATTGCCTGAGCAGTTTAATGAGCCGCTGCTGCTGACTCTAAATTGTCAGATAAATGATCCTGTCAGTCGAAACGGCAAGGAGAAGTGAGCCGCGGCTGCGAGCGCTCCACCAAGATCACAGAGATAAGACTATAGGGGGATTAGATAGGCTAATTGCCTGAAGCGGCCGTCTCAGGCTGCCTGCGGAGTGGCAGGCTCCACCAGCCACAAAGAACGCTCTCAAACTGATCGGGGGGATAATCTAATAGAGCCACAAGCCTTGAAATCGCCAAATTAATTGGGGGAAAATTTACAAGCCGAATTAACCCAAGAGCAAACCTGAATTTTGACTAGCTGGAATCAGAAAACCGTTCCAGTCAGGGAGTGCACAACCTCTTACCACGAAGTCTGAGCTAAAAACTGGGGGACGCTGGGGAGGTGTCCCATGGAGGAGGAGGAGCATCCCGGAGTTTTAAGCCCAGCCTTTCCAGAAGAGACTGAAGCACCTCCCACTTCTGGATGCTCTGAACAGCTCATGGGAGAAAGGGAATAAGAAAAGCCTTTAGTTTGCATAAGTTTCATTTTACTTTGACTTTAGGAACTTTCTGATAACAAAATTAGTTATCATTAGATTTTTCTAGCTGATTGCAAAAATCAAAATTCTGGAAAATACTTTGGTTAACAGGATTCTCTAGCAATAATTCACTTACTGATATCTATTTTTATCTTAGCCAAAAATGAATTTTCAGAAACAAAATTATTCAAAAAAACAAATGAACATTTGTGAACATTTTTCTTCTATAGTTCCTTCTTTTATATTTTTTACCATCAGTTCTTCATATAATCAGTGTTTTAACTCTAATGAATTCTATGGCCTAAGGATGGCTGTTCTACAGGCCAAATTTCAGTTTCTATTTAATGTATACAAACACCCCAATTGATAGTCCCTGAACATGTTCATAGTGCACAATTCAGTTAGGACACATGGTAGGTACTTCTAGTGAATGGTAAATCAGTTGATAAAGTACATTTGCCATGTATAATTTTCAGGCATAGAATCTTAGTTTTGCCCTATTTGCAGAAATGAGTAATGCCATTTAGCATTTGGCCACCTTAATGCCTATTTGTTAAGTCCTCCTTCTGTCCCCAACTATTGTTTGCCTCCCATTTTTTTTTAAAAAAATCTTCCACTTAAAAGTGTCTCATAACACAGCAAATGCAAATGAATGGATATTTCCATTTTGTATTTTAAAAAATTAAGAAATATATAGTACAAATGTATTAACATCTTAATTGCATCTCCACTGAAAAGGAGATAGTGAAAGTTGTTCAGGGGAAAATAATAAGTTGTCTTGTAATTTCAGGTAGAGATGTATGCATGTTTAGCTTTTAATTGTGGATGCTTTTATGTGAAACAAGTTCCACTGAAATCAACAATCTCAAGCAACTATATTAAGGGCTGAAATGTTTATTTCAGAGGACTCCATGTAATTCCTAAATCCATAGCTTTAATTCAGAAAGGGTTACCGTATATACTTGAGTATAAGTCGACCCGAATATAAGCCGAGGCACCTAATTTTACCACAAAAAAACTGGGAAAACCTATTGACTCGAGTATAAGCCTAGGGTGGGAAATGCAGCAGCTACTGGTAAATTTCAAAAATAAAAATAGATACCAATAAAAACTTTCACTAGGACAGTTGAGAATAAATTTGATGTTCACAATTTCCTCTTTGAAAGAGACCAGTAAATAGGGAACAAGAAGATGAAGAAAAAGAAGTGTGTTTTTTCACACTTTTCACACTGCAGTGAACAAAAATGGCATCATAGGAACAGGCTTATTCTCAGTCCAAAGGTTTGTTTCTGATTTCTTCCCTGATTTAAGTGAAATTTGGGAAACTATCTCACTAACCCAAAAGAAGATGATGATGACAGTGGGAGGCAGGAGTCACTCTCTCCCTTGCAAGAAAAAAGCAAGAGCCGTAGAGAGAGAGAGAGGGGGGGGGAGAGAGAGAGAGAGAGAGAGAGAGAGAGAGAGAGAGAGAGAGAGAG